ATGAAGGTTTTAAACTCCTGTTATATATAGGTCAAAGACATATTACCATATTAGGAAGTCCAGATGGAGAATCTTCTGATGATAGCCTTGTGGATCTGGTAAGTATTGAAAGCTGTTCAATTGCAGAATTGCCAGAATACTGCTTTTAACATGAACTATTTTTTAAGGAGAAAGCCTGTTTCTGCTTGAGAAAGAAACTACGTTTTACCAAATGGGCTTTTTCTAGAGAGTTGGTTTTTCTCCCCATAGAGAGTTAATCTTTGAATTTAAAGAGAACACACAGGAAATTTGCCAAAGCAGGGAGTATATTCAAAAGTGTATATGATCTATTTGGTTGCATTAGTTCATAAAAAAAAAAAGAGTTACTTAAAACATTTCTGAATAGTAATAATATTTTAGGCAAAAATTCTTAACACTAATATATTTAGTCTTTTTGTATTAAAGCTACATTTGCAAATAAAATTTCATTTCATACGCCAGTGAAAATTATTGTTTGCATCCAACAAATCTTTCACTAAGAGATTTTATTTCTATTTAAAGGAGGGTTTTTATCTGTAGAAAGATAAGAGTGTTAAATTAGAAGTAGGATACCATGTTTAATAATTAAGAATGACTTCACTTCCCAAACTGTGTAGTTTTAAAATACGCCCTTTCTCGTTTAAGGCTGTTGGACTGGGTGCCAGGTTTATCAAGTTGGGAGGTCTTTCCCGCGGAGAAAGGGTGACCAAATACAACCGCCTTCTTGCTATAGAGGAAGAACTGGCCAAGAATAGAACGCTACGTATGAGCTTCTTTCTTACTTTGTTTTCAGCTTGCAATGAATACGAGAACAAAGATTGAAGGGAGAATGATTGAAACTGCACCACAGGAGGGAGGCGAAATCAAAAGACTATAAATAAGCACTGACAAAAAAAACCTAGGATAGCACTTGCCACAATGTATATTGTTGTCCTAATGGATTATCTGTTTACTGAATGTTAAAATAGACCCCTTCTTGAGGAGTAGCCTACATTAAGCTTTTTTCCAGAATTAATTGGTTGGAGTCTTGAAACCCACAGTGCAAAAGGAACAAAACAAAAACCATGCATATAACACGCCGAAAAGCTGCCAAAATGGAATTTTAGGCCAAATACCGCACCCACCTCCCTCAAGCCTCTAAACATATATTGCTAACAAAACTTCATTTCACAACCCCCTTTTGTGCGTTGCATTTCCAGCAAAATGTGTTTGGAAAGCTACGGTTGCATGGGTAAGCACTAAATAAAACCCAAGAAAAACCGGAGTTGGCTATGCACATTCAGCCTTAGCCACTTGTATGCATCTGCCTCCATTTCAGGATCTGCATCTTCTCTTTACACTATGCTCTACACTGTTAAATGCTTAACAGTTCATTAGAACCACTTCTCACTTGTTCAGGTATCAATCAAGACAGAATAAAGGCATACAGTCTGAAGGGGAGGCAGAGAGACGAGGAGAGGAAGAAAGGAAGGAAAGGGTTTGCAAGAATTTATTATGCCTAAGAAAAAGAAAAATGAAGGAGAATTAAGTCATTTTGCCCTCTTGTGTCTAACCATTTTCAGTCTTCTATACATAGGATAGCAGCACGTGACATGCACACTATAGAACAAAGTTTTTCTTTAAAAAAATTTTTATTGAAAATATTCCGAATTTTCAAAATCTCCCCCTTACTCATATATAATCATTGTAAAAAATAGAAACATAGACAGAAATTATTTTTTGCTAGGACAGTAGTTTCACGGAATGCATTTTTCAAAAACAAGACAGATAATTATAAAGAGCTATGAACTTCAACTGCCTCAGCAATATTAATATATTCCCTGTTCAAATGGTCTAGTCTAAACAAAGAGCTCGAGTTTGACAAATATTTAAACCTATGTCTCATAAAATGAAATAGCGACAATTCCCGAAGCCATTAATCGTTTGGCAGAAATAAAATCCAGTAACTAAATCAACAGCAGGGAAATACTGAGACAGCATGTCTGAGCTGCATACCAAACTCTTCATTTGGCTGGGCGGCGAGCTACGGAATACACCGGAGAGCTGAGAAGCTGAGGACTCTGTAAGCGGCTCATAGATGGGAGGCGACACTGACCCACGGGGAGCCCCCGCAGCAGTGACCGGACGGGGCACGCAGCTGGGCCCAGGAGCACCGTCACAACCGGCGCCCTCGGCTCTCCTGCTGCCTTGCCCCCTCTCGCTACGAGCAATGTGGGTTGGGCAGAAGGCTTTGCCGAAGTGCAGCCCCAGTGCCCATGCTGTGTTTCAGCCACCGGATTCACCTGGAAGGCGCACGTGAACTGCCTGCAAGCTGAATCACACTGGCCACCCCTTTACTAAAAAGTAACATATATAGCTCAGACGTGTTCAGTGATGGGGTGGGCATTGTGTATGTAGCAAAACAGGGAATTAGTTAGGGAAGAAGGAGTGCCACAGGACTGGGAAAAATAGCAGTCAGAAGAGAGGTGGAGTGTTAGTTACAGGAGCAACATCTGAACATGGGCTTACAGAGAGTTGTGAAAGGCGGGGGTGGAGAAGAGGCACAGTCAGCTGATGGGAACTTTTGCAAGAGCACCAGCGCAGAGGAAGGTGGGTGTTCGGAAGAAGGGCAGCAAGGTGAGATGGTTAGTGAAGAGGGGAATGCAATAAATATCCCAGCTCAAGCTGCTGTGCACCCTGCCCTAATCCTGTAATCACAGTGCAGGGCTGCTGCTCCTTCGTTTCTAAGGACCAGACTTTTACAGGTGTTCAGAGACTCTTGTAAGCATCATGCGGCATTTTTAACAAATCTGAGTGCACCAGAGAACATTACAAGAACCTGGATTACAGCAAACATAAGAATGAGTTTCTTTTTTCTCTTCTATTTCAGGTGAAGCAAATCTTGAATTTATTGCTTTTGCTGAAGAATCACGGCCAGAAAAACAACTTTCTGATGTTGTTTTTCCTCCTCCATTGCCTCCACAGCTCTCTCAGCCAGCCCTGCAGGTTCACAGCCCGCCTGCTCAGCTCCCAGAGGACAGCACACTGACCTAGGTTGTCAACATTAACTTTTGGATAAATTTCTAAAAAAACACATTCTAGTAAGAAACTCATATATTAACTATTCCTTAATCCATTTATTTTCAAGCAGTTTAGTTAAACATTTTTAAAAGCATTCAGATACTAGCTTTTCTTTTCCCAGACCATTGCTTTTAGCTTTTAACCAAGTTAACTGAGCAGGGGCTGTAGTTTGAAAATACCACAAAATTCTGTGCTGTATTTACAAATTGACAAAACAAATACCTCTGTGTTAAGTCGAAAACTGAATGTTTGTTTTGGGAAAGTCGAAATCTCTCTCCACACAAAGAGCAAGCTATTGACAAACAGTAAAAAAAAAAACCAACATTTTACAAAAAACAAAGGCCTTGACTGTTACGCTGCTCCATCCCCCCCACGCACCCTCAATGCTGCTCTTAGATCGAGCCTACAAGGGAAATTTTGCTCCAGTTGTAGCTAGCTATCAATACAAGTGCATCACTGCAAACCCCAAATGTAGGGCACAAAGCTGTAACTGGCATCACTAGGAAGCTTGCTTCAGTTGGAGGCAGGGAATAACCAGTCAATTTCACAAGGTCTGGGAAACTTGTCAGGAGTCTTTTTAATAAGCAACAGTGAAAAGATAAATAAATAATTTATGTCCTAGGTAACAAACAGTTTAAGTAAAAGAAATACGTCTTAAAAAACTTCTGGGTTTTGTATCATTCGAAAATTTGAACATATAATACAGCAGCAAGAATTTGAGAAAAAATACATATATAAAATGTTGCATTTTAAATTCAGTGTAACAGATACCTAAGTGAAAAATTAACCATCAGAATCAACCGCCCCCCAGAAATGAAGATATCAATGAGACAAATTTCCCCAAGTTTAGGAATTATATGTAGTTCAGTAATTCGATGAAGTCCAAGATTTTCTTAGCAAACATGCAAAAAACACCAAAAAAGATGTGAAACTACCACACTTGTTACTATCATTTTATTTTTAGGAAAAGCACCGGACAGTTGCATGCAGAGCCAAGCCAACAAACTCAGAACATTCATCCTTCAATACTATCGCTGTTTCAACTCATTAAATAAAAAATAATCCAAGTGCATTCAAGTACTTGACCACCCAATTTCAGTTACGCCGACCTTTAGGTAAATCCCTGATTTACATTTGTTCGTTCATCATAAAAGAATGAGATACTGTGTTGAATTTAAAAAGAGACTACAATGGAATGTGAATTGGCAGCGGAGCAAATCAATTATGTACCTATCTCACTGTCTTTATAGGAAGTAAGGGCTGAGGGACACTGGGATTTGTGTCATCAGACATCTGAAGTGTTACCTAATAAAGAAATTAATGCCACCAGTGTGTACCAGGTTCAAAGCAAAGCCTCTTTTGTTAGTGCTGCGAGGTTTCAGCTGGGAGTTCTCAAAATGTTGATTCCAAACAACTTGCAATCCTAGAACAACTGAATCTCACCTGTACTCCATGCTCACGGGAGCCTAGGAGAACTTACTTTTCGCAGCAGCAAATACAGACTGCAGTTGCAGCAGTTCCAAACTTTGCTATGTAACATTGAAACAAGAACCAGGAGATAAGTCCTCCTTTGGAAAGCTTTTCATCCAAATGAGAGCACCAATCTCAACCCACAAACTTCTGACTTTGGCTATCATTACCGAAAGTCGTCTTGGTGCCTAAATGACATGCTGCACTGCCTCTGCTTTTCAGTCTTTGGGCTAGCTGTCCACTGGGGAATCTGAAACAGAAGTGTTACGCTTGTGCTTTTAATTTCCTCAAAAGAGCATGTGTGGAGACAGCGGCAAGGAGATCTACAAGATCTTGGTTTAAGTAGATATCAAAATATTTTTAAAGCAATGTGTCTAAACCCCGATTTTTTAATTATTAGTAGTACCCCCCATACTAAAGCTGATGTGTGTGTAATCACCTTCATAGGGTCTAACCCAAACCCGACCAGTTCAAGAGGGATGCAAGGGGCTTCTGGCAAGCTTTAGAATGGACCTTTAACAAGGTATCTTCTCAACAAAAGAATAATTAAAAAAGCCTTTTCAAATACAGTTTTAAAGAAAAGGTTAACTGACACTATCTAAGAAAATATTAACCATACCTGCAAAATTAAAATGGGAAAGGGATTTTGAGTGATACGTAGTTATTTAACACTTTAATGCATGTAACAAAACTGCATACAAAAGACCATTTCAATCTATGTTATTGAAAACGGTTTGGAGTACAGACCATAGCCCCTAGAAACACACCTAAGCAACTTACATGTCCAGATAATGATTCCCAAAAGTTACAGCCTTTCAGAATAACAATTAACAGTTAGAACTGTCTGTTTCTTTTCTTTTCTCAGCATTATTTTCTTTATGCAGCAGCTTGCTTTTTTCCTCTTTCATTTTGTTCTGATTCAGCGTGTTTTCAGACATCTGATCCCCCTTGGTGGAAACAGGATCTAAAACTACAATGGATTCTGTCTCTTTTTCACTGCTAGAAGCTTTTCTTGTGAATTCGGTATGACTAGTTGATCTAAAGAAAAAAGAATAAATATATGAATACAGATAATAGCTCACATGTTTAGGAGAAAGAATATAAATATACAGAAAAGCATTTCTATTATTAGTAGCACATATGACCAGGACAGATCTACTGAACTAGTAAACAGATTTATAGATTTAACAGCTGTTACATACAGACAGTAGTGCACAAAATGCAACAGTCACATTATCCCTCCTGAATCATTCGTTAAGCTAGCCACGAAAGACATTTAACAGGTAAACCAAACTTACGAAGCACTGAAAAAAATCCTTAGACTACAAAAGAATCAGTTTAAAGCCTCAAGAATTCATTTTCTCTCTGCTCATCTCGGAGCTGGATTTAGGTTCCCCCATGTCCAACAGGGCAGTTGCACCCCGAGAAAACGCTACCAGTTCCTGCAGCCTGTAGGCTAACAGTCCTGCAGCCCGACGGGGGGACATGGCTGCTTCTCCACACCCGCATCCCAGAGCAGCTCGCGCAGGGCTTTCACTGTACTACACTCTGCCGTATGACAGGGAGGTCGAGGCCGCGTAACCAGATTTTCCGCCGTGGCTCGGCACCAACAGGCTGCTGGCGGTCTCACTGGGAGCAAGTGCAAATGATTTCTGAACATTCACCTCCTGGGTTTGCTGAAATACAGAGGGCGTTAGACCTACATTCTGCACTGCAGAAACGGGGTTACGGCTTGATTGCTTGCAGTGCAGGGATTCTTGCAGATGAAAAGCCCTCCGAGCGGGGAGAGAGGAAGGGAAGGTCAGAGACACCAGGGTTATTTGTCGAGGCTGGCATCATGCTATAAACACTAAGAGCACTTGTCTATATTCAGAAGCTTTGTACTAGTGTTGAAAACGCGCAGGCAAATCCTTAGATTAGCTAGAATGCACCAGCAGAGAAGGAGGCAAGCACTGGGAAAGCACGGCCTGATCAAGGCGCAGATGGGGGTGTTTCCTCCGCCACCCTGGCGCTGCTGCACGGGCAGGCAGGCAGCTTGCGAGCGTGGGCTTACGCCTCCGCTGTGCTTTCCAGAGCCCGCTGGCCCCGTGCGCCTGAGGGCAGGTAACCAGGCACGCCTAGGGAGCGCAGTCCCATCTTTAGGCTGGGCCTTACACAATGGTATGAACGCCGTACACGCGTCCACACAGATACAGCTACAACCACCACACCAGACAGGCGCAAAAATCCTTAGTGCAGGAAGGTCCTACGTGCACCAGTGGGTGTGCGGCTCCGCTCTCCCGGGAAGCCTAACTGCAGAGCTGCTGAATGCAACTGCATTTACTAGCCCAGAGCCTTTTTCTTTCCTTTTCTTTTTTTTTTTTTTTTTTTAAATTTTTCATGCTTACTCATAAGGAATAGCCTTCCATACTGCTAAGATAACACCCTTGAAAGGAAAAAGTAGAATCAACTGTAGGCCAGAGAAAGAAATTCAGCTACTGGATCCATCTGCTATGAACTGCCCTTTATTGTGACAGTCTTTGTCCTAGAGAAAATGACAAAGAAAAAAGAGGTCACCCCACTCAACAATTAGAGCACGGGGCGGAGAATCTACTGGCTCCCACCTGACGGGGACAGAGCAAATGTACAGGTTAAAAACAAATAAATAATCACAGAAACAACAGTTGTTGCATTTTCCATCTCAGAAAGAATTTACTCAGCTTGCTACTGAAGCACTGGATATAGCGAATGAAATTCCATGTTCAAGCTTTAATTGTCTCTAACATTAGAACTTCGGTGTAAGTTAATTAATGCAGAAATTGGTGCTAATAGATACAGTTTCAGACTCATTTGATTATCATCAGAAGCTAGTGATTTCATAAGGAAAATAATGCTTATTTTATGCAGAAGTTGCCAGTCATTCCAGAAAATAGAAGGTGGGGTATTTTGAATGTTACAGCAAATTAAACTTTTTAAAGCAGCGTAACCAGAAGAGGGTTATTTTAAAAAGTGCTACCTCTGAAAAGCTGATTGCCCAACACTATAAAAATGGTCAAAGCCATAAATGCCAAGTTCATTTTTATTTCACTTTGGAGGTAACTATCTTTCAAATCCCAACAGCTGGACTATTTAATACAATCTGGTGAATCAAAGTATAATTCTTCACTGGGCTCACAGTGGGGAGTCTGCATTAGTGTATGGCAGCATTCCAACAACTGATGCACAGCCAAATGCTCTGAAGTCTGTTTCATTTATAACAAAAATGGATAAAACGACAATCATATTTACCACCTTCAAAGGACAGAAAAATGAAAGATGTCGATATAAAGTAGTTTATTGGAGAAAACCAGTGATTAAATCAGCATTTCAAGCATAAAAATAAGAATTACTCTTCAGACTTCGTTGTACAAGCGTTCCCTTCTTCAAATCCTTTACACTTCTGCAGCACGAGCCTGACAGTGCTGCTGTTACAGCTGAGGTATTGTTAAAAATTATTAACCCTATTTATCAGGTATTCATAGCTCATTTTCAATAGTTTGTCAAGAGCAGAATGCAAGCATAATAAAGTTTCAGTGCAAGAATGAGCATAATTTTGGTGCTCCCTTTCAAAAAACAGTTTTTACTGCTACAAATAAAGCTGGGAAAAGCAATTAGTACAGATACAGTTAGCCACAGTTTTGAACAATTGCGAATTTGTCCAGCCAAGGTATTTGCATTTAGTTCTATGCAAAGCTCATTAAGATTGTTAATGGTGTTATCAGTATTCTTGTTATTTGTCCAACTATGTATGTAAGCCAGAAATTGAGAACCTAGTTCTATTGTACTCACTCATACATAATTGTTCATAAGTCTGCATACACTTTTATGACTAAACACATAAAATCCATACTGTGAAATCCAGATTTAGCTGATAAATGCATTTTAGATTGATTGTATGGGATATGCAAAGTCCCATGCAGTACTGAGGAATGATTGTGATATAAGAGTATCAAAAGCAATATATTCCATTTATATAGTTACAGAAGCTACAGAAGGTGTAAAAATAAAGGGTTACGCCTGACGGGCCGTCTGTGAACTAGTACTGCGGTGCCCTTTGTAAATAATTTACAGTAGGAGTACAAAAGGACAAACTAAGGATCGGAATTGTCAACTGAGACTTGTATTTTCTTTGTTTCCTCTGGTTAATATTATAACCGTGGTATTATTTAACATTGCTCAGTGCTCTATTCATGAAATCATTGTAATATGTTTCCATTAGAAACAAGAATTTTATGTAAATATAATAGAAAATTTTATTGGATGAAGTCCCATCCAATTTCCTAACAATATGTAAAAGCAGAAGGCTAAAGGAAACCATTCAAGGAAAACGCTGTAGGAAAATCCATGGTTTTTACAGCACATTTAGAAAATATTGGCAAAAATCTACTCCAGCAAAGACTGGTTTTGCAAGTACATAGTATAAGCATGGGAGACTCCGTGTAGATACTCTGCCTGGAATCTGAGCTGGTATGAATGAAGTCATTTCTGCTACAAAAGCCGACAATAACTCGGCATCAAATCAGTATACTTTGTCTTTCAGTGAGCTCCCTAATCTAGGACGCTGAAATAGCTGTCATCTCTCTTCAAAGCAAAATTGCTTTCAAAACCAAAATACAACTCCACCGGTGCTATTCCTTACTCCCCAAAAGATGAGATTTGAAGCATTAAGCTAATTTGACCGTTGCTTACCACCAGTTGCTTCTCTGTAACGCTTAAAAACCATGCCTGCATGTCAGTTATAGCTTGCTATTTGCCTAACTACCGCCCACCCTGACCCCAGCATTCCCATTTTCCTACAAGATCCCCATAACTGAGGACAAACATCACTCGTGCAACAAAGCTCATACTGCAATCACTATGTCCCTTCCAAACCACCACACTTGGAGGATTTGCCAAATAACAGCAGCTCAGCTGTCCTGCCTCTGACCGGGACTAACCAGCCCACGGTGTCGGCCCGTACAGGAGGTGGGTCTCAGCTCGGCAGAGTGCCACTGTGCTTGGTCTGTTGCGTGCCAGACCACAACAGATGAGTCAATTTTATCCTCAGTCAAAAACTTTTACTCAGAATAAAAGCAAAACTGCAGAGGTGTTTATTAAATATTTCAGAATTCTTAACAGGGCAAGGGAATACAACAGAAAGGACCAAAAGCAAATACCAAACAATAGTAAAAAACACACCGATTCCAAGTCTTGAAAGTCTTCAATGAACAAAAATTCCATCACACCACAATATTTGTCAAAAGAAAATTACAGGGTATACAAACAGTGATGCTAGTGAGTTAAGTCTGCTGGTTGCCTCCTCTGATAGTACCAGTACAATCTGTACACCAGACATCTGTGAAGAAGATCCTTCTCCAGGATCTTCTCACAAGGACCCCATGCAAGAATGGAATGCCCCTGCTAAATCTAGCTGAGTAGAAAGGTGGTCAACATAGCAGTGAGCGGAACGGAACTGCAGACAATCTTTCGTATGGAAATTGCTCCCTTTTTCAGGTGCTTTTTTGAAAATGCTCAAAAAGATTGGCACATTCATTTAAATGAAGAATCTTGGAGAGCTTCTACCTGCACTGAGAAAGCGCACAAAGTACAGTCTAAGAAAAATGTATGACAGTAGCTTTTAAAACAGTTAAAATTGAGGAGGCCTCAAACTTCCAGAACATCCCACTGTTTTCTTCATTTGTTGTTCAAACTAAATTGCCCATGTTCAAGCTGCACTGGAAAACCTTGCAGTTCTGTCTAGCTGAGGCTGAGCTGCTTCCCGCAGAGCTGGTAGATGATTCAGGGGTACTAAGATTACAGCCAGGAGAAGGAGGACAAATCCTTTAATTGTATAAAATCATCAGATTAAGACTAACCCTCTCTGTGGTTCACTCTCTTAGCGGAGAACTCTGCTGCCCAGAAACAAAATGTTTACAAAGTGCTGGAAAAAAAATCCCCCAAAACCCAGGGGCAGCGCCAGACACACCTTTCCCTTCTGTGTCTAGGCACTGCAGGGAGTCGCGGGAACTCTCTTTGCTCCCAAGGGAACTAAATTGTCACCTATTCTCTTCTAAGCAATTGTCACAGAATTACACTCACACTGGGTTAAACATTTGGGAAGAGATTTGCAGAGGAAGTTACCTGAATACTGAGGTAAGGCCTCAATTTCTCTATAGGACGCACATTATTGATGTCTTCCCCCCCAGCACCACCTCAGCGAAACTTCACACATTCCAAATCATTTGCTCAATGGCTTCACACCCTTCTAACAATCTCCTGCACTGAAATGACACCTCACCTAGTTTTTCGAAACCCAAATTTTTCTTCTGCATTAATTCCTTTGAGCTATCATCACTTAGTTTGATGACAGTGAAATTTCAGAATCAACCTGCACTTGCTGATGTTACAGCCCTTTTCCACAATCCCCCCTTTGGCAACTCACACGAGTGGCCCAGCTCATTCAGCTGGCGGCCAGTGCTTTGGTAACACCTAACCAGAGGAGGAACCACATTATGAGTCCGACTTGAACCAAAGACTGAAATTCCTCACCCGTGCGTGTTTAGGTTAGATTGTCACTGACTTGGGGGTGGGGAGGATCCAGGATTTTACTCAAAGAGCTGACTTCTGTCACAGATACATTTTCAAGACTGGGTCTTTTTCAAAGGCCTGACCTTCTTTCTCCATGAGAACAGGAGTGCTCAACAGTTACTCAACGTGAATAAAGAATGATGAATAGGGCTGTTCGCATTTAAATGTCTGTAGGTATTACCTCCTCCTTCAGATTACAAACCTTAGGAAATGGATGGTGCAGCAAAGAGAAATATCTCATGCACAACTACTCCCTACGTTTTCTGTAGGAAGTTGGACATTAAAATCTAGGTGAAGAAAAAAGAATAAACGCTGCACTGCAAGAGACACCTGGTAATTACAAGACATGCAATCCTCTACTGTGCTATAAAAGGCTTGCGTGGCTGCTGCAAACAGTTGAAGCAGGTCACACCTTTGTCAGATTTCAAGGAATTGCAAATGATGAGACAGCTGCATCCTTTCATCTTGGGTATGAATAAGGAGAAGAGCAGCCACAATAAATCTTTTGTACGACTTTGTCATTTAGGGTACCTGGTCAAAGCAGCGTACTGTTTGTTCAGTTAACCCGGTCTACTTTAGGAAATAGTGTGGTGCAACAGGAGTGGACGCGTAGAGGGAAACAGCCTGTCCTTCAGACCAATGTCCTCATCACACACATTTCAGGGGGGTTATTCACTGAACTAGCTCTCCCCCGGGGCCAGTTGTTAAAGGCTGGATCACCGTCTTCTGGTTTAATTTCACTCATCCAAGGAATCCAGAGATTCAGTTTATGCACTAAGACCACTCCAGGATACAAATCAAAGCATAGCAAATGGGGACAACAGATTTGCTTCAGAATGGGACAAAGAGATTTGCTTCAGAAGTGCTCTGCTGATCCAAACTACACGGCTAGTACAGCTGAACCCAGGGAAGCCCAGAAAACTGCCTAATTACAGAGCCAACTTGTCAGACATATTAGACAAATGAACTTCCTTCTGATGGCTTCTTCAAATGAGCCCTGTTTCAAAACAGTGCTTACACACCTTGGAGTCTGGAGGCTGCTTCGACTAACCTTTGCTGCAAACAGCACCCAGGAGAAAAAAGAAAATAATTGCACTTCAACGTGGTATGAAGCACCTAGTTTATTTCTGCTCCTTCCTGCCAGCCCAGCGGCAGAAGAGTATGAGAGCCCCAGCACCTTCTCTCTTGCTGGAAAACCATCCTCAACGATGAGCCTTTCCAATTAAGCAGGTTTACACCAGTGATTCGGTGCAAAGAAGCCCTGCAGCGCTAAGGAATCTGGCCCACCACATTTGTTTTAATGCTTTAAACAGATACATTAAAGTGAAACGTGTCTTTTAGGATGTCACTGAATAGGCAAGCTGAGAAATAAATTGAGCTTCACATATGCTTTTATAACACGTAACAACTGTGACTGTCAACACAAGATCCTTTTCACTGTCAATTCACCACGCATTCTGCGAGACCTTGGGGCCTGCAATTATTTCATTTCCTTTCTTGTAAATGCAATTTCCACTTAGTTTGGTGGAATAAAGATAGACAAAAGGTGGTAGGAGTTGATGTATTTTCTGATTAAGGTTATCTGTTCAAAATTGTAGAAATCCACAAACTACAAATACAGTATTTTTCAGGAACAAGCTCACCTTTATGTCTGGGTAGCAGTTCAAGAAAATGCAATGGCATCATTCATGTCAAATTAGCTGTTGAACAAATCTTCATCTTTCTGATTAAATTAAAATGAAGATTATCTTTCTTCTAAGGATACTTAAATGAAATAAAAGGGGAAAATACATATGATTGGAAAAGGCATTCTGCTTTTAAAACTCGGTGCGAATTAAATAAAACTGTAGAGCACAAAAGGAAATTGGGCTCTTTATCCATTCAAAAATAAATTACAAAAGTACTTGTAGGAGAGTGAAGTAAGTATCAGTTCATAAAAATAGACGCGAACTGAATTTCCAGCTCATTTGTCGTGACTTACTCCTTCGAACCAAGCAATGAAGACTTGCTAGAATTGGTACTGGTGGTATTTTTTAACTGATAGAGCAGAAAATCAGAGGTTTAATTAGCCATGATTACAATATTCTCCTGATCTGATTTGTCTCATCTATTTCCTTTTCTTGAAGTGACAAACTGACAAACAACCTGGCAAGGGAACATAAGCAAGTGCACAGCCTAATTTTAAAAGGAGCTTGGTATTGTCGTAAAACAAACCAATCCTCCACCAGATCTGTCTGAAATAAATATTTCTGAAGCAGGTTTAACTCTTTGATGCTTAACTGGCACCTTGGGTCTTCAATCTGTTGCGACAAAAGATTCTTCTGCCCATGTGTGCAAATGCAGCACTAACTGATTTTTTTTTTTTTTGAAGAATCTGAATCTTGAGATTTCAAGGTAATTCAGAATTTTTACCAACAAACATTTAAGAGTAATAGTTAGGACTTGTTTTGGTCCAATAGAAACTGCCCTGCACACCTGCATACAGACCAATATGACTTACATGATTCTATTTTTCAAAATACTGTGCTAGAACTACCTCTTTTTTAAATCAAGAGTTAACTATGTAACTATCATCCCTCTTCTCTTCAGGATATGGAAAAAAACCTCAACCTTGCTATTCCTCGAAAACTCTTGAGTTCTTTTTTTGGCAGAGAGATGAACTTTTCTTTGAAGAATGTTCACAGATTTTACAAGAAAAGAACTTTATTACAGAGAATTCCATTCTACCTCCACGTGAGACTGCAAATTATTTGAGGAGTCAGTGGTAAACAGCTGCAGACTGTTTTGTTAACTATCCTGTTAACCAAAATTGATATTAAATCACTTTCAAAACTAAACAGCTCTGGTACTAAAATATATCTAGAAATCCATATTCTACTTACTGTGATGTAGGTTTGGAGTCTGTGACACCCTTAAGCTGGTTAGAGACAGGACCCGAGTCAGGTACTTTGGAACTGAATTCTGGCTCCAGGTCTTTCTTGTTCAACGCTGTTTGCGCGGCACTGGCTCCCGAACCTAGCACAGGCAGAGATTTTGATTCTGATGTGGCCAAGATTCCAGTGGGACCTAAAACCCAAAGAAAGTTTAATGCTTCTGTTATCTGGATTGACTGGTCTAGAAACAACACATAAGCACAGCAGAATTCAAGCTATCTGCAGAAATCAAAATGGAATTTTAACAAACAGCGTCCGGTGCATGGAAAGTATCAAAATACCGTATTTGCAGCTTCTGCTCTCCCCGCCAAGATTAACCCTTTCTTGTGCCACAAGCAGGGCTTGCTATATTGACACAGTCATGCACTCAGTCTCCTTGCCTTCTGGGATGGTAAGTCCTGCTGCCCACATAGCACTACCAAGTCTCAACTTGCCAGTGCTCTCCCAGCCTGAAGTGCAGCTGGAGCGAGAGCCAGACCAAGGACAAAAAAGCCTGTTCTCATACTAATGAGTAGTCAGTGAACCGTCTACCTAAAGTCCAATCTAAAACCATACAGTGACATTAAAACCAGCCACATCTGCATCGACTATGGCATGGACTTACACTTGCACAGACTGTGTTTCTAACCAGGCAGAACATCAACAGTTTCTTACAGATGATGACAGTAAAGCATAGCTTAAAAACCGCAGACCCTTGCTCTGCAGAAGAGGTTAATTCAAAACGTGAGTCCTCATTTCTCTGGTTACCGTTACTTTCAAGAGTATTTTCACAGTAGGCTCAGACTATTAACTCCAATAACAATGTCTAAGCTCCATGCAGGACAGAGGAACCTGTGTATATATGGCTGCGTGCGCAGAAAATCCTGACAGAGGCATCTCTCGGAGAAAATGGGGGCGAAAAGCGACAGGTGCGATGGGGAAGTGAGTCACTGTAGAAGTAAGCAGAGTTCTCCATAATGGCTGAAATGGCAATGGTCTGGAAGAGAAAGTAGAGCTTCAAGAGTCACTTAATGTAGGGAGAGGAAGAGGACTACGAAGGAGTCCAGCCACTTACTGCCACTGTCCTGGTCAGTGGTCACTTTCCGGCGTCGCAGAACTCGTTCCAGCTCTGTTTCGCTGCTGTCTGTTTCAAGGGACTTCAAGCTTCGGGAACTAGTGGATTTGTTCAATGTCTCCTACAGCAAGAAACAGGCATGAAAAGCTCTCTAAGGATATATTATGCCTTGCCAAACATCCCATACGCACAACGTGAGAACCTTTTAAACAGCAGAAAAGCAACTGCAGTTCTAGACCAGTGTGCGAAGCTCTCTCTTTAGTACAACAGACAGCATCTGGGGCTTGGCTCACCACTCCTCCCCTTGATTTTCTGATGTAGGGATTAACCACACTTACCTACACCTCAGAGGGTTGATATCAGGATTAAGAAAGATGCTCTGGATCACTAATGAACAAACTCTGATGTGTGCAGGGAACTGCCAATTTCCTCCACCTTAATATTTAAAGGATCTTAAAAAACTGCTAGAACGTATCATGCCCATAATTAACCTCTATTAGCAAAAAGCCAAAGATCCATATTTTACTGCTCCAGCATATTTTATATTTTAGCATGGTCCTGTGTTGGTGCATCCTGGTGTGTACACATATCTGCACAAGTCAGTATGTATTAACTGCAACTGCAGCATGTTATTATATATAATCTAGCTGATCTGGCATAAACCTGAGCCTATGTCCACATACTTCATGGTTTCTCTTACGCACAGGATTAGACCTCAAGTTTAAATGGTTTTTTTATACATACAAAATAGAAATCCATACTATTACTGCCTTATGCCAAGGTTAGCATTTTGTATCAGCTAAGCTGCAAATCCAGCAGCACTGTCCTTAAGGAAATAAAAAAAAGTCTTTGATCGAAGCCTGAAACTTCCCAAAATTGCCCACATTTTCACATGCACATAGTGTATACTGCATGCATTTCCTAACTGACAAGAGTCAGTTACTAGATCAGCAACTAGTAATTTGACTGTAAAATTTCCCCAAAATGTTTATAATGCAACTGAAAATTTGGGACCCATGTGCTATTTCATTCTCTCTCTGAGTCTTGCCATCTTTAGGAATCCCCAGGAATCCCATTTATTCAGCCTTCCAAAACATGTCGTATAGCAGCTATCCAGAGCATAAATAACATATTCTTAACATCTTTTGTTGACAAGCACATAACTTCTGAGCAGAAATAGCAAATGACAAAAAGAAATGGCATCGCAAGTTGCAAAAGCTATACTACTTTCAGATACTAATTCTTCACCCCCGCCCAAAAGTTAAAATATCTTCTTTGGCAACTATTTGAAATTTAACTGAGCAGGTACATTATTAATGAGTACTATGCTCCCGATCTGTACAAATGTACACATACGAAAGCAACTTGCACAACGGAGTCACTCAAACTCTGCAATTTACAGAACATAAATGTGTTTTGTTTGTAACAATTATATGGAGGTCTACATGAAATGCATAATTAGCATAGTAACAACAAATGTTTACTCCATCACATCCCACCCCCATGTTTGTTGTCTGACTGTGCGTAATGATTGGTCTCAAGAACAGACTGGAATTGAATTTTATATAGTTTGTCTTATACTGCAAATATCCTGAAGGGCTCAAAAGCAACAAGCTAGATACAGAAGTACAGTGACTGTAGGTTGCTTTCTGCTCCCTCTGAAGCACATAATCAAGTCTCCCCTGATGTCAGTGATACAGCGTCAAAGAAACAAAACAGCTATTAGAAAACGAAAGGACCTTCGGCAGGATCGTTGAGTCCAACCCCCACTGGTCCAAACAGCACACCATATCAAACTATTCGTATACTTACTGAGTTCCATTTGAAACATAATCTCCATGTTGCATTTTATTCCTTTTCTATTTACCTCCACATTTAATTATGTGTCCCTCTAATTAGAGCTCGGCATTACGGTCTGGGGGCTCTCTAGGATCATTTCTTCCCTTCTTCCCCTGCTTTCATGTGACTGGAGAACAGTAAGTTTAACATGTCACCGGTGCCACACTCGTGATTTTAAATCACAGCACAGGCTGTGGCTACACTCTTTGCTGTACTGTCACTCAACACAATACTGAAGTTATTTTTATAAGGGCTGTTCAGGTGCCATTAGGGATGATTAGAATGATTAGCCTTACCTTCTGTGGAGTAGATGTGAAGCATTTTGCTTCGATATGGGCAGAATTTCACCGTATTTCACCTTACAAAGGCAAAATTTCATTTAATGTGCCAAAGTTGCACTTCAACTTTAAAAGGGTCAGGCAGCAAGAACTACAGCTCCTTCTGACTCTTTGATAGAATTTTAGCACTTGCGCAAAAGAAACAACCAGTTAAATAAGCAACGCAATATACAAGTAAAGGACAGACCAGCAGCAAATAGCACATTGCTCTGAGCAGGACCAAACCCATGCCTAATGTTTTTATTTAGTGACAAATGGGTATGCAGACAGCTATTCAGAATCAATTTTTCTACATATAAATGTAGACAGTCTAGAGACCTCTTGCTCTATTTAGGCTATGTCTATGCTAACAAGAAATTTGGTGCCTCAGGAAAGAGCAGGAGTTCAGAGCAGTTGATTATGAGAACCCTATGTCTACTGTACGTGCAGTTCAGGGCTTTACTTTGGACTAGATTTATTCAGCTGCCTCTCCCTCCCTAAGCATCCCCACTGTGAGTACTTGGAAAGTTTCCAAAGGATCTATGGCAGGTGCAGACCATAACATCCCCTCTAGTGGCAGGAACATACAAATCCGGAACGGAGTTAACAGGCTAGTTTTCTCCAAAATAAATTCTGTTAGCAAGACCAAACCCAAGCTTTCAGTCAGACCAAAGTCAAAAGTGGAATTGGGGGATTCACTCCAAAACTGCTCTACGGCTTCAAACCAAAGCACTAATGCAGAACTTTCAAATACTCAGCCATTTTGCACAGAAGGCCCTGCCAGCAAAATGAGAAGAAAAAACTGAAATATAAACTACAAGTTTTCTTACCAGAATCCCTTTTAATTCTTTCATTGCACTTTCAGAGGGCTTTGGTGTTTCTGGCTGTAAATAAAGACAACACGTGCATGTTAAAAACACGTGAAATGGACCATGACAGACTTTGTACTTGAGGACAGACGTCGCACAAGGGTCTACTGCACAAGCATACACTTGTATTATGTTCCTCTGCTCTCTCCTCTCATGGGCACACGCCTAACATTCAATCTATTTTCTTATATAGATGAAGGGAAGAGTCTCAGCTCGTAACACAGTGAATCACAGCCTACACATAAAGAAAGATTACGTTTTTGTGAAGACGGTAAGCAATATTTTATAGTGGCCATATTCATGTATTAGTGCTAAGTGTTGCATAAAAGGAAGAAATACTGCTAAATACAGTCTACTTCTTGATCACCCCCTTTACCCAGTTCAGTTTTTCCCTCTGTGCTTTTAGTTTCTCAGTAGCTGTTTGTTTACAAGATGCTTGTTTTCAGTTCCTTTCTGTGTCAAAGAAACTGGGCTTCTATTTACTTACTGTTGGCTTCACTTCTTTTTCTGTTTTTCATATATATGCTGCTCTAATTCATTTTATTCAAAATCAAGCAAAGCAAAGGAGGTGAGTGAGGCAAACGTATTCTTTTGAATGTTTCACAGAAAGCCTGATTTATTTTCAGTGTAAATTACTGTACTCAGCTAATATTATTGCTCTGCTATTTATTCCAAACCTTTGTTTTAGGTCTGCTTGACTGGTTGACTGGTCTCAGATGAACTCCCTTTTTAATTCTGTCCATCATTTCTTCAACAGCTTGTCTCTTCAGATCCGTAACTTCTTCACCTGTTCCAAAAATCAAAAAGCATATCACATTCCAGATATGAACTACAGAGAAATAGAAGAGAAAAACGTGTTAAACAGCCTCCTGAACAGCTTGCTTGCCATATATAGCCTGTTACCATAATCATAAATTAGTTTTAATGATTAAATGGCATTGCATATACAATGTACTTAGCTATACTCCCTGCAGTAGTTCTTCCTGCCTGGATGTGTGATGCGTATTGCTCACGTACGATCTAAATCCATGCTTTTTCTCAGTTTTATTAAAAATATAAATGATAAGCATAAATACAGAGGCTTATTTTTCTCCTCATAAGTGGGCTGTTCACAGGGTCTTTCTTACAGGACCACTATCCTACTCTTAATTTTCCCCACCACAGAGAGGCACTTTACCTTACAGCACATACATCTAAAAAGTGTTTCCACCTTCTACGTGGTAGCAGAAACCAGCAACCTCATCTCTAGTTATCAGGAATTCTAGTTTCTGGATTCAGCACTATTAGTGATCTTTGCTATAAGCTAAGCTGTCACAAGCTCTTCAAGGATAAAATGCCAATCTACACACATTGAGGATCCAGCCGTGGACTCTGCAAATGGCAAACCACAGTGCCTGCAGAAGCGGGGCCCAGATCCTGAAAAACACAACGCTCCTGTTTGGGAATTGCATAAGCTCAGTGCTATAGGCTGAAGAATACGGCCCCACTTCCACTGTATCTCTTCACTGTGGCTCAGCAGAAATTTCCACAGCTTCATTGACACAGGACAAGTTGATAAAGCCCCATGGCGAGGCCTATATGCAGCCCATTACAGGACTACCAAATATGTCTCGTATTTCACGTGGTTTTAAGAACCTTGCTGGAATGATACACCAACATCTCAGACCGAACTAAAAACACACCATTAAAGAACACTATACCAAGTTAAAGGGCAAAACTTAAATACCATGGAAGGAACCTGCTGTTTTTCAAGAGGTTCCATATCAGAACCGCAAAATACTCAGATGAAACGGGAAGCTGTGTGATGAACCTAAACAATAGCTGTTAACTTATCAGTGTTCTGGATAATGTAACAAAAGACACTTAAGGTGCCGTACCAAAAAGGGGAAAAAAAAGACTACTTAAAGCAAATACATGGAGAAATATGGTTGACGCTATTCAAAGCTGCAATGTTGTACCTTATATAACAGGAATTTTAAATAGAGTTTCGCTCTTTCACTTGTCAGGGTACTATTGATGATTCATAGAAATGCAGTTTCTGGATTGTAAGCCGATTTAATGTCAGGCTTTAATTTCACAAACAGGCTTTTTCAAATATAAAAGCTTAATTCGTGGTATGGGATAGAAACCACTCATTCTAAGTCCTTAACAAGGGTCAAAACAAGCCTCAAGTTGGATATAATAACTAGATCAAGAAAGAACTTTCCCCCTTTTTTATTTTTATTTTAAGAACAGCTCAACTATTAAGAGATGAAGCAGTTTATATGTGATTGAAGAAAGGTCAGAACTGTTAAAAGTTTGCTAATAAATAATGAAAGAATGGGGTGTACAGAACTTATAGTGAATTTCATAGTATTTCCTGCAATCACTGTTTCTAACAGTCTCAACAAAAAGGTGTAATCAAAACATCTAGGACGCTTCAAGGTAAGGAAACTTGATAAATGAAGGCAACATAGTTGAGCTTTTACTGAAAGGTTAAGATTGACTCTTCATCAGAGATCTCGGTACAAGGTTCTACCCAGACCAACAACCTTATTCCTCTCAAACTGGTAATCAGCTCCCAAAGATTCCCCCACAGACCTGCCCAAGTCACCCCATTCATCAGTTCCTCACCTGAAAAATGGGAGGGATAATACTTCCTTTCCCCCACTTTCTGCTTGTTGGTTCCATCCAACAATCCAGCCATGCTTACATACCATTACAGTCTGCTAACAGCGATTTTTTCTTTAACAGTTATATCCTATAACTATAATTTCAGGCAGGTTCCCTTCTACAGCCCCCTTCTTTGTTTAAGTGGCAGCAAGCGAGTTAAGCAATTCACTGCAAACAAACTCCTGCTGTTTCAGAAAGAAGAGAGAAGCAGCGAGGAAAACCTCGGTTATTTAACTGGCAACACTTGTCTAACTAGCTCTGACTCTTCAGGCACTCATGATCATTTGTAAATCTGTACTTAACTCCTCTTCTCAACCTACTAAGTTTCCAGCTTCCATTAACAACAATAAAATGCAATTTCAGCTGTTACTTTGCATGCAGAGCCACCTTAGTGCAAGATTCTGTTTTGGTTTAGGTTTTCAGTATTATTACAGGATTAGCATTAACAGTCAACTCTGAGTGGTAATTTCATAAGATACGAACTGAGGGATGAAAACTGAAGCATTTAACAAACTAGCTCTGTGGAGAGGCTCTGGACGGAAGAAATCACAAACAAGGAGCCATTTGGAAGTTGGAAACTTCCCTGGGTTACCCTGTATATAACGTGTTCTCAGCTTAACGCTTGTCGGGTTTGTTCTTCTGCCTCTTCCAGACAACCTGTGGAAGTGCAAAGTCCTGGACATATTGTAGCTGCAGCTACATGCTGTAGCATCTCCAGCGTAGAGGCACAGGTTGAGCCTCTCAACGCTGCTGTAGTGCAACTACTACAGGCAGTTCCAGACTGCCAGGGTGCAACTCGACAAGCTGCACAGAGTCAATGTAACAGCATGGGGCCTAAATTAAACTATTCTGTTCTCCCCATCCATCTCACCCAGCGCATCACCATACCCAGCTTATCTTGTCAGGTCCTTCTGTGAGCCTATAATAAACATGACCACCCTCTCCCCAAGGGAAAAAAAAAAAACAAACACAATTTTTTCTGCCACATCAGTGAATGAAATCAGCTCAGTGACATATCTGATAAGCACGAGAGCCAGAAGTAGGAAGATAAGAACTTTCTTTCAGTTACAGCAAGTGCCAGGTCTTCCCTTAAGGTTTTTGATCTGCAGCCTCAAAGATTGTTTATACTAAAATCCATTTGGAAAAAATAAATTGGATGCTGACCACCAGCTCAGTTGTGGGGGCATACACGGCTACGAGGGCTATGCAAGTTTGCTAGGGATCTCGAGGAAGCTTGCAGTACCAAAGCCACAATGCCAAAGATACCACTTCCTATCTCAGAGCACATATGACTGGGCTGCAATCACATTTCTGGACTGAAGGTAGATGAATATGCTGGGACATGGATAGCAGTTGTTAATGTTGACAATTATAAGCATTTGCATCACTATCTGTACCCACAGTTCATTTTCACTACCTTTATCTGCAGTACCTAGTGAATAATCCGCATGACTTGAGAAAGGATGAGCCATACCTGACTCCTGCTGAGGAGGTTTCTCCTTCTTGCTGACGTTGGTGTTAGAGTGAGATCTCTTGCGAATCATTGACATGAGAGACCTTTGGGGAAAATGAAACTGCAAATTGTCATTCTGTCCTGTATTACACACTGTTAGAATGAACTTGAACATGACACACAAACAGCTTGCTTATACCTGATTATACAGCTACTTACAAAAGACTCATTTAACAGTTCTTGAATGCAGATGTATGTACTGAATTACCCCCCACAATGCCTCCCATCAATATGCACCAGAGAAATTTATTTCTTTTTAACAGACATTAGGCACAAATCAAAACACTCCAAGATTTGAATATTAAAAGACATCTCATTGTGACACATGACAAATTGAAGCTGCTCTGGCATAATAAAAGGAAGGAAGAGCTGTAGATATTGAAGTGAAGTATTACTCTCCAGAGGACACTTAAATATGGTGATCAGTACCTCCTCACCAACTCCAAGTTTGTAATCTTCTTACAGTGTCAAATAATTATCCCTTCACTATAGTCAAAACGTAAAAGTCCAGGCAAGGAAATGATTCATCTTAAAGCCCAAGTACAAGCTCCCATGCACATCTGATGTGTCAGTGAGGCCTGTCACTCCCTACTGAACACTGTACAGTGACCTCCCTGACATAAAGGGTCAAAACTCTGTCCCAGAAAAAAGCAGCATCCAGTGCCTAGGCTCCGAAACAACCTCTATGCACATAAAAGTCACAGTGCTTGAAGGAAATACTCTGATTTAGCTACTACAGCGCTTAAAATGAAGTATCTGTTCCGAATAGTAAAGGGCACAAACTTAAATAAAACAGAACAAAAAAAACCCACAACACCCCCACACAGTTAATTCATGCTACACATTAGTGAGAAAGAAGCAAGCAAGCCAAATGAGTTAACAGGCGTAAAAGGAGCAAAGGACCAAACACAATTGTTCAGAACGTGTTTAGTTTAGATTTCTAAAAACAAAGCAAGAGGCACAAAGGGATGAATTCTCCCTACTAATCATCTCTATTCATATATTTAACACAACAGTTATCAAGACTAAGACTCCTGCATGTAATTTCTATTACAGAAAGTTAGAAAGTGTCATCAAATTCCATTTATTTTTAAAACCAAGCAGACAACGTGAAGATTAGCTGAGTTCCTAAAATTAACGAAGCACACTTTAGGGCTTAGTTAATTAATTTGGGTCTAATGCCCAATACATCATATATTGGTCAGCCTCTTTTACAGTCCTTTGCAAAAATCAGGCTTAATTTTGACAATTTCACCCAAAACTGCTTGATGATGGGGTGGTGATTTTCTATTTTTTTTTTCTTTTTAACTTATGAAAGAAATTGTGGGAACTCAATGGAGTCTGCATTTTCATCACCAGTAATCCGACAGGAAGGGACACACAGTAATCCAACATATCCTTTGGTTCAAAGGGGTTTTCTTAGTAGTAGATTCAGAGAAGCATTTCACAAGTCTGTAATTACAGCTATCAGGTGAATAGAAAAAAATAATCTCCTAAATTTAGAGGAGACAGGTATCCCTCCTCCTCCAAAGTCACAGTCTAGACAATTTGTTAGGCTTGGCAAGGCAGACACTGTTCAAAACTGGTCAGAGCGTTAGTCTGTTGGCAGGTGGGGCACAGAGCGTGTCCTGCTGGTAAAGAGCCCAAGACAGATGGAGAAAGCCCTTTTTTCTTTGAAGATGCAAACTCATGTAATGTATTCTGCTTCAGCAATGCATTAATGCTGTGACCCTTGGTTTAAGCACTTACCGTATAGGGTTAGGAGGAGGGGGAGGAGGAAGAGGAGGAGGAGGTGGTGGTGGAGGAGGTGGTGGAGGATTTTCAGACTGCTGTATTCGTTTTTGAAGTTCATCAACTGCGCAAGATCAATAAAACAAACCAGAGTGAGTTCTTGGTTTCTCAAATCTGCTCTAAAAACCAAGTCTGATGGTTTAAGAAAAAAGCTACTAATTAACTAAAAAACAAACAAGAAGACTAAACTACAGAACTGCTAGGAAGTCCTATTTCTGGCAACATTTTCTACCAAGAACAATGTCCTAGATGCACAGGATTCTCATTAAACCAGTTACCTCCAACAGAGTTGCTTTTGAAACTAAAATGACACTCTCCCTCATACAGGATTCTTCATATAAAATGATAAGAGCAGGGAAAAGTTCATCTCATTCCTGTGATGGTCTATTGGAGGTTGCATTTGAGAATGAACTAACATGAGATGAAAGAAATGAACAATTTCCGCTTCCAGACTTATCTCTGTCTTGCTGATGGTGTGGGTTTTCCCCACAAAAATGGTCAAAACTGGGCAGTGGGCAGAATGGATTCTTTCTCTCCTGTTTTCATGTCAGATCTAAAATGTGGAAATTACTTTTCGGCACTTGAAATGTCGTCAAATGCAACTAACTGGGGAAAGGCAGAAACAGAGAAAAAAAAAGTCTTAAATTTCTTCTAGCTACTAAAATTCTTAGCAATTGTTCTGAATACAGTAGGAATTATGGCAGAAGTACAGAATATGATTTCCAAAGTGAATATGGTTCTTTGTTCTCGTAATGATGGATTAAAATTAAAATTACAATCTTTAACATTTACTTTTAAATTTAAAAAGGAAAAAAAAAAAATCAACTGAGTAACTTTAAATTCCAGGTATAATCTTTATGCTGATGAATTCCTTCTGAAGGACAAACAAGCCTGGAAAGAAAGAATCTGCTGTGAAGGTTAGATCTTTTCCAAGGCAGCTAAGAACTCATATGCTGCCTAGGCGTATTTTTAAGGCTGGGTGATGTAAAACTCTAACACAAAGCAGTTCTTCCAAGCAAGACTGCTAACAAACTTAAAGATAATCCTGCTCTTAAGGATACGTTTCAGAAAAGCATGGCTATTCGTGGAGTCTTAACTAAGGATAGGGCCTTTGGCCTCCTCTGACAGGGGCTCAAATGCTTCTCTGACCAGGTGTCATACTTAAAACTAGCACCTGCTTATGCCTTGAGCTGAACAAGGACTGAAAGCAAAGGCACATGCAAATACTTAACCAGCCCCACATTCCCTATAGCAAGGCCACACACACCAGGGGCCCTTTTTAAAAGCACTTTTAAATAAAGAGCATTAGGTCAGAAATTTCCTCATTCAATAGATAGGATGCTGCAGACAAGCCAGGGACCATCCTGATAACAATAACTGTATGAACATCTGCACTGCAACAGTTGTTCCCTCCTAAATATTCTGTGAATCTTTTCTGCCCGTATTCTTTGGGTGTTAGTTTAAATCTTAGAGACAGACACACACAGTAGCTAGCAAGGCTGTTTCTTTCCTTTCAGTCACTTGACAAAAATATTTGACTACAAGTAAGAGATTTAGATATATAATTCTCATGGATATGGGCCATAAAAGCCCACCAGATTTGTTTGGCTAACTCCCTTTGTAAGGCTCTGAAGGCAGTACTTACCTTTTAAATACCTGTTTTAAAAAAAAAAAAAAAAAAAAGAACGCACACGCACACACACACACCCCCTCCCAGACCCTCTCACATCAGCAGAAATTGTTTTCTCACATGTCAATATGAAGGGCTAAATCATGTCTTTATTTTCACTAGTGTCTTCTACTGCAAGACTATAAAATGGTGGGGTAGCTTGATAATCATGGGATGTTTTTGTACAATTCAGACAATATAGATTCCACAGTCTGATAAATCACTGTGCATCTTTGCAACAAAAAAAAAAAAAAGAGCAGAGTTATCCCATTTTATTTATTTTTAAAACTAGGTAAGAGGATACATTTTGACTGAATACGAAGGATTGTGTCTTTCACACAGAAACCCATTTCACATGTATATATCCATCTGTAAGACTCAGGGCAATCTAACAAGAGTATTTTTATACCTTACAGAAGTTTTACAAGGTTATTCTTTCACACACATTCTGGACCCAACTGTTCTCTAAAATGAAAGTTATTACATGATTTTACCTGAATGCTTTAGGTCTCTAGCTTTTTCTTCTGAGTTCTGACACCTAAGCTCTAGCTCCTTTTTGTCTTCTTCCAAAAGTTCTAGTTGCTGTTTAAGACGACTAATCTCCTTATGCAGTGCTTGATTCTCTAGCTGCTCTTCCAATTCTTTGATCTGCAGTTGGCAAACAATAGCATTCATTACAATAAATGGTATTTTCTGTCCTTCCTTTTGACAAATAACAAATAATCCATGAGGCACAGTTATTCCTGAAAACACGATGTTATAGTATAGGAGTGAACTACAAGTCCCAGAAAGAGGACAATTTTTGAATGAGAGCTGGACAGATTTTTCTGAGAGATGTCAGAATTTTCTATTATGATCCTAACTTGTTTTATCTCTTCTTTAGAATACATCTTTAGCTCCAAAGCACTTAAGCTATAAGGTGTTCCCTTTTTCTTTTTATAGAGTTTTTATCACATAATTGGAATTTAATTTCAGAACATTTCTTCATTTGAAGCACGAGAACATCAACATTTTTGTTCTCTTACCAACTGCTTCCACCGACAGGTTGGTTATTTAAACTCCCTTGTCTCAACTCACGCAGATGCCAATGGGTGAATTATGGAACATCAGATTTAGAGGCAGCATTCAGGTGCAGAGTAGCAATCACTTCCCAACTCCCTAAATATATATATTTTGCTCTAGACTTCAAGGAGCCAAAGATGCAGAGACTTTCTATGAACTGGCAATTATTCTTCCAAAACACTCATACAGAAGCCTGCGAGATTACACATAGTCTTAGTATTGCTGCATTGATGAAAGCACAGGAACTGTCTACCTGTTCCTAGAATTACTCTATTACTCGAGTTTTAAGAACAGGCCTCACAGCTAAGGGAAAACTCATTTTCAGACTTTTAAGTGAAGCAATGGTGATTTCTCCCAGTTAGAGATTGATCTAGTCCAGTTTCAAAGAATGTATTTGTTTAGATCCTAGCACTTTACATCCTATCACACCACTTTGCAGCATTGCCTGCTGCAAAGCACACCTAACATTTCCCTGCTCCAGTATGTCTGGCTCTTCCCCATGCATTTCTTTAGCAAGTGACCAGACTACTAATGTGAACTGCCTACGTCTCACCTCCTGGTCATCTTAGCTTTTCCCCCCAAAATACCCTTTATATTACTCAATATATTCCAAAATATTCTCCTGTCATCTCTTCTTCACTTAATGGAACTTGACTTAATGCTTGTAATTGCTCTTTACTGGCATCCAGAATAAAATACTTATCTAAACCAGAGCCTCCAGGCTGAAAAAGCTTCAGGTTTTGTACTCATGTCTTACCAGTGTCCCAGAAGAAGGGAATCACAATCTTCTCTGAAGTTTAGTTTTTAGATTGTAAACTCTTATGGGGGACAAGATCTCAATTCTGAACCTAACAAATAGATGACACTCCTTAAATTCAGGAGGCTTTCAAAGACTTCCGCATGAGATGAAAAGTAATCCTGTTTTACCTTTTGTTGGTGTTGAAGCCTCTCTTCTTCTAATATGTGGGTTAGCTTAGCATTGTCATCCAAAGCCTTCAAAAGCTGTTGATCAGGAGCAGAATTTTGCAGAAGCAACTGACTTTGCCTTTTCATCTTGTTTTGTTCAATAAACATCTGCCAAAACAAAACCCACCCCAACAAAAACAATAGTTAAGCACAGTCTAATGCTATCCTGGGAAAAATGGCAATTGGAAAGAAAATGAAGAAATTAATATCATGTTAATATGGTAGGTATAGTGAGGAAGAAGGTGAGAAGGAAGGGGAAAGGAAGTTTGAGAGTAAAATTTACAAGGGCTAAGCTCACACTGAAAGGAACCAGGTGTCTGCTGAGAGAACTACCCCCTGCTACACCTCAATTACCCACAGGTTGGCAGCATTCAGAATTTAAATGCATCTCCGAATTTTGTTTCCTGGAAATGGGAGCAATCTGATCCCTATTCTGGCAGCTCTGGAGAGATTAAAAGAACTCTAGGTGGAGGAAAAAATGTCTATGAATTCACAGGCTACCTCCTCAAACACATCTGCAAGCCTCGACGTAAAGCCCACTTATTTGAGGGTTACCTGGGTATGTGAATGATGGAGAGTCTTCGGAAAATGAATTTCAGTCCATGTTTGTGTAATTATGTATGCACTTGCCCCCGGAAAAGGCATTTCAGGGCAATTTCAGCCTTTTAGTTCTGATCCTTGTGTTCTTTCCTCTTCCCCATTTTTCATGTGGGGAATGGATACATTACGGGGAAAAAAAAAAAATTTAAATAGTCTAGAGACTTGACACTGATAAAAATGTCACACATTTCTCTAGGCTTCACCTACGAGGTGCGGAGGCTGTCAGCACATTCAGTTTTCCATAAGAGAGATCTGCTCCTTCCAGGGTGTTTAGGAACCCAGGAAAAAAAAAATTGCTTCCTGCCAAAAAAGATTCCTTGTGAATTTATTCTGCATCTTGACATCTCCTTCAGGTAGACAATTGCCCCTCAGCCAACAGGGGCTTCCACTCTTGACAAACTCAGCTGTGCCTATTCTTTCAGAAGAAATAGGGATTGGGTCATGCTGAGGTTTCAGACGAGTGTGCACAGGTCAGCAAATCATGCCACTTACGGCAGGAGAACAGAGAACAGCCTGAGAATGCAGACACTCCCTCAGACAGTAAAAACACTGTTGTATAGCACAGCAAAAGCAAGAAGATATTTTAAGAATAAAGTATTAGAAATACAAAAATTCCATGAGATCTTTTCAGATTCCCATACTATTTATTCACAAACCAAAATTACAGATACAACATATGGTTTCTTCCCGTCCGGTGCTACTGCAATGCTATGTGATTTTTTTTTTTTTTAAATACAATTGGATTTTAAAGAAATATCAGCTCATGCAGATTCGTGGCAAGCATTCCACCCAGAGCTCTGCACAGACGCTTCAACGGAGTCTTCTTAGCAAGCAACTCTCTCTCTAGCTGTACATACAGACTGAGAAGCTGCTGACTGTGCTGAACTTTTAACTCACAATGCAGCCTGCTTGACTCTGCGTGCCAAGAAGAGTCAATTGATGCGGCCTTAATGCTAATAAAACCTACAATGAACACTTCATTGGGCAAAGCTGTGCCATGGGGGTAGGCAATAAAGGACTGGAAGTATTCGGTGAAGAGGAAACGACGAATACAGGCTCTAGTACTATACTTCATTATAAAACAAACAAAAACAAATTTATGACAATACACAGGCCACTGTGGCGTGGTGCAAATGTGCACTGGACATCAGTTCCCTGTCCCAAAATTCTGCCAGTCAAACCAATTATGCTTGCATTACCTTACACTAGTAGGGCTGTGGCAAAAACAATTCAAAGGCAAGAGAAGTTCAGAATCAAAGCTACCCACCCCAACCTGTAAAGGTTTACCTTTGTATCACAACTCATCTATTTGATTAACATTTTATCTTCTTAAAAGAAACAGCATCTTTCAAACATCATACTTTAGAAAGGCCTCTAAATCACTGCTAAAGAACTCAACACTGTCTCAAAGCCTCCTGCTTTCCTGTTAAGTCAGTCAAAAGTTATTTAACCCTGACAGAAATAACATCTTTCTAGAAGCCACCTTTAGCAAACATCGTCGTTTACCTACTGTGAACTTTCAAAGCAAAGTGAAAACTTGGGTTTCATTTTTTTTGAAACTGAATAATAGTTTGAGGTGGTAATTCCAGATTTTTGTTCCCTGAGCTTCTGCCACTAAAACCAACAGAACAGAGTTGTTCCAGCCTAAGGGAGCAGAAAGCTGCCAAGACAAGAAGAAATCAAGTAGAGCAACTTAATTTCTTCAACTTGAGCAGATATTTCACCAAATGTAGAAAATTCATATTCACTTTCTTTCATGCTCCTCTGCAACAAAATAAAAAAAAAATCCTCCTGAAGAACTGGGTGAAAACCTTTTCATTCATAATTTTTCACATGAAGTCCTGCTTTTTCAATTAACTTTATAAATTGCTTTCATGACATTGCAAATACGTTCCTGCTTACAATATATGCTGCAATCAGATACATGGAAATTGATTTCTCATGGGGAGCCCCATGCATTTCAGAAGTTACTTACACACATGTCCTTGATGTACTGGCATATTCCAAACGGAAGAGACAAAACTAGACAAGATGGCAGATATAGCAGAAAGAGAGCTGGTGATGAACTGATGGCAAGTTTCTGAGAGGTCGCTCTATGTGTTTGACATGGGACAAAAAAGAACCTTAGAAATTAATTCTAGTTTAAAATTAAAACAATCAGCAGGGCAGAAACCTGACTGCCTGCACATGCCTGAATATTAATTGAAGTGACTGCTGAAAGGGCAAAACAGCTACTAACAGGATTATTTGGACTAGGTGGAATTTAACCAATTGATGGATTAGTTCCGACTTTGCCACCTGCTAGACAATTATCTGCAAAGTACCCCACTCAATGCTAGAAACATAAGTCGATGTTGGAGGAATCTACTGAAACCATGACTGCAACTAAAAGCAGATCACAAAGCACCATAGTTTGTTTACACCTATCATTTTAATTTTAAAAATCTCCAAATGTTGTGCAAACCAGCTACGTATCTTTCCCCCCGAGTTTACAAACAGAAGCTCCAAAGTGCAGGAAATCTGGGACTTGGCCACTTTCCATCAGCAGAGGTTGCACAAGAATTGGGGAGGGGAAAAGAGAAGGGGGTGAAATCCTGAAAATAACAGAAGTTTTTCCCTTGACCTTAATGGGGCCACACCTCATTCTCGGACCCTTGCTCTAACCATTACCCTACAGAGCATTCGCTGCAGCTGTTTTTTGTTTACACCAGAGCTGAAAAAGGAATTCTTCCTCATTAAAAAAGTTAGAAAGCAATGCTGTTAGTGTCAAGTCCCTGGGAACTTCGATCCTCATTCAAGTAGCGTTCAGGGTATAACTGGATGCTTTCCAACTAACTCCTCTCCCAGGAGCAAAATGAGGCCAAAGAAAATGCTTTAATATCCATATGTTGCTGCATTTCCATCTATACCTCCTTTGGGTACTCACTATGTGGAATAACTTTTTTGTCTTAGCTACAGTTCGGAGGGAGAAGAATGTCTCAATGCAGCACCACTGTTATAATAAGGTAATCATTGGTTGCATAAAGTAAAATAAAAATCAGTGGCAAATGCTACCCACTATGAATAGAATAACAAAACGTACGTAGCAAGGCAGAGTCAAACTTCAGAAGTCTCAAACAGAAAAAAGAAGATCAGTCAACTGAGCAATTGGCCCTGAATCCTTGGCAGCTCTGCTCCATACACTCCACATCCTAGTGAGAAATCAGTAAGTCATCCTTATGGAGTGGCAAACCACTCATTTACATTTGTTATAGTTTACAGGAGCTGATGTCTTTTGCATTATGTGTACCCTGAAACCTTATAGTCTTGTGTTCAGACCTGAATTAAGTCCCAAGAGAGGTAGAGTCAAGATACTTTTATCTCCCCAAAAGAACAGGCTGTCTGAAGGATTTTATGTGAGCGGGGGACAGAGTGATCTTGTCTGATTACGGCTTGACAGGGCACTAAGCGGCTCTAAATTCAGGAGATACTCAGTTTAAAATATAAATCCAGGTGTGGGTTTTAGTTCAATGGCTAATCGGGAAAAAAAAAAATATATATACTCTTAACTGTGTAACTGCTTAACTGTACTGTATTATCAAGGACACCTGGGCTTGTGAGCTTCACTGCATATAAATATTACAGCAGAAAACAATGGCTAGTGGGTTTTTTTGATACAAGAGTTGATAAACACATCTTATTAAAACACATTAAGAAACACACCCATAGTTTGGACATTGACCTAGAAATGCTCTCTCTACACTCAGGCGCAATGCTGCACATCAAGCAATGATATCAGCCTCATATGAGTCACAAATCCTTTGTGGTTTAGTGGGTTCACAGGTGTCTGAAGTGCTACTCAGGAAAAAAGCTACAACAAATAAATGGTATCTGCAGTTAGAACACAATCCAGAAAACTTACTTCAGCACAAGCTTTATTTTAAGTGCATGTGGCATTACTCTGATCTGAAAATTTTGTATCTGGTGCTTATATTCTTCTCCACCTGGGAGCTGCCTCTGTGGAAAGTAACTGTCACGGGATGTCAGACAGAAAATTACCCAAACAGCTAATATCAAGGGCATGGAGGGCACAGGACAAGACTTCTTTTAATAAAATAAAATAAAAATTAAAAAAAAAAAAAAAAACAACCAAAAAAACCCACGCAACGTTAAGTATGGAAAACCAGAGTGATGCATTTCTGGCAACATGTTGTGACCTTCATAGACTTCGTCTTTCAGAGGAGCCAAAGACTAACCCTAGCTAGATTTTCAAACTGCCACAAAAAACTGAGCAACACAATCATGAAAAAGACATATGCATAGTAATGGACAGCCAACAGTCACTCCCTACTCTCCAGATGATTCATAATATTTTATGGTTAATAGTTTTTGTTAAGATCTGCATCAATTTTAGACTAATAAAGATACAATACAGTTGCTTTAGTTATTTGGCTAATTGCCAGACAACTTCTGAAGGGAGTATTTCTAAAGAGCTACAAGATGTAGCATTAGCCAGTTTTGTAGCTCAA